TCCTAAATCCAAAAACACAGCACTGTACCGGCACTAGGAAGAAAATTAACTCTATCGCAGCCGAAACCAGGACAGATGTATATAATTAAGATTTTTAATGCTTCCATAGAAAAAAGTAAAGAAACTATGCAGAAACACTTTTTAAGTGCTGTTTCATCTTGGAATATTCTGTGTTCCTATCCTTAACCGAAACTATTCCTATCCAAATCAACAGATTTGGCTCAGTGCTAGAAATATTTTAGTACCATAATTTTTCTTATATTTTTTTCCTACATATTGTCTGGGTAACCCTTTTCAAAAACCTCACCATCGCCACCCCTCCTTGTCTGTGAGGGCATGAAGGAAGCTCAAAAGTCTGCCCGTTACCTACTTGCTACTTAATGAAGTCTGTTATTTCATTACTGTATTGGCGGGTCTTTTTTCATAACTCTAGCAGTAAATTTAGTTTCAGTCAAGCGTCTTCCATGTGGAAAAACTGAAAAGCAAGCAGACGGTAGAGACGTTACAGTAAGTTAAATAATTCTGCTACACAACTCTGTATTCTATGGGTACAGTAAGAGTTTGGAAGGAAGCTAGCTTTTTTATTTCTACAGGTTTTATTATTTCAGAGAAATAAATCAGAGCAGTTCAATATACAAGTTTTTGTGTAGTTTTGACTAAATGTTACTGTATTAATTTGTGCTTGACTCATGCTTTCAAAATATTCTGTCCATACATAAATTGCCGGTTTAAAATCACATTATTATTTTTAAGCTGCAAAGTTAGGCATTCATAAGTTCAAAACCGTAATAATTTACTTTCCTGGATGAGATTGTTTTATGGTGTATGCCATACTTTTTTTTTTCTTGCCATAAAGTCGTCTTTTGAATATTTGTTCTTGTAGTCATCCTTTGTCACCGTACCTTTTTTTTTTGGTCACCTAAAGCAAGGTCCTGTATTCTCTTAGTATCTGTAATGTAACTATTGAATTCTTTTTGATAAAATCTAATGCCTCAGGGTTACTGATGGCTGGAAGTTAAAAAGCAATCCAAATCCAGGGAAGGGCGGGAGAAAAATCTCAGGACTTTCTGATATAGAAGGAAAAGGGGAGAAATGCATGGTGAACGGTCACTGCACAGTTCTGACTTCGAGGTAGAGAGGAACAGAAATGTGTTCCCTGTGGGACACGTTTCACATCCCTGCTGAATCCAGTGCTACTCCCATTCAAACAGTCTGGAAGTTGTTTTTACTTTGGGATCTTTCATTATCCCAGCCAGTCTAGCTTCAGCCTCGATACATACACTCAGGGAAGGGTTTCATTGTGAGTACCTTGTGATAAAGTGAGAGTAACTACGCTAAAGATTAAAAGTAGAGCTCTTCTGCAATTTGATAGTAGCTGCCTGAATTGTAGTAACATTGATTGAATAAGCATGTGATGAATTGTACTGACCCGAGCTGTATCGTAGCTGTTACCCCATGACATCACCAAGTCACGAATCAGTAGCACTTGAGCTTCAAGGCACTCCTGTGATAATAAAAAGCACAGTTTAACTCCAACTGGAGGGCGATATGTGTGGATAAGGTAATCACTAAAGTTAACATTGCAGTAAAAGGCAGCCTTATGTTTCTGTTCCACACTGTCCTTACGCTGTGCTGCTCAACGATGGCCCCTATACCAGAGGAGTCATTTGCAGTAGAGAATTTGGACAGCATGTAGCTCTTACCTTCCTTCACCAATAAGGCTTGGGATGCTCCAGCATTAAGTAAATGAGAGGTCTGGAATAATAGAGAGCTTGAATCTATTCCAAATGGTAGAGCTCTCTGCTGTAACCAGATAGTCTTGTTGTATTCTTGCTGACTAATTGAGGGTGTTATTTAGTCTTTAAATTCAATAAGACTGCAACCACAATTCTCAAAAAAAAAAGCTCTACAATGGTATAATGGAGTCTGGAGTAGTGCCAGTAGGTATCGGACTGAAAAAATGAGACTCTTGAGAAGAAAAAGTTCTGCAGTAATTGGCTTGTGGAAGTTTTATTCTAGGCAGAACTATAGCACAGCCTTTTGTTGCAAGTAAAATGGTTTTACTTGTTAAATAACAATGGATTTTGTTTTTAATAGCAAGAGCAACATTTTTGGAGCTATGTAGCCACATTTATTTTTCTGCTTCTAGATAATCCGTACTTCATTATTTCCCTTCTTATTGAAGTATTAGTTTTGTTCTGAGCTTGCATTAATTTTTTTAGAAAAAGAGAACGAAACACTGTTAAAGCTCTCTTCATAAGGTTTTGAATTTACAAATACTTAATTTTTATCTTAAACTTTATAAATATAAATTCTACTTAAATGTGAGTTCACAGTTAAATTTAAGATCACAGTTTCTGAACAGTCCTTTCTCTTTAATGGATAATCAGTTTCAGCTACTGAATTTCTCTCAACAGCTACTGTAGGAAAAAATGTATGAATAAATACATCAAAGGTATTCAACTGCCAGAATAATTCTGGGCCTCATCTTCTTAATATATTACTATTTTAATGTATTCACTTCTGATCCTTTTAAAGCTGAAATAGTTGCATATTATGAGTGTTGTGAATTCAAACATTGGCAGGCCTTGAAACAACAAAGCTAGGCGTTATTATAGCATATCTGGAAGAGCAGCATACTTTCATTTTGCATTACTGCAAATCATGAATCATCTAAGGAAATACCCACACAGTTTGATCACAACTTACCCCTAAGAATACTACTTTTCCCCTAATGCCAAAGCAGATGTGATTGGACTGATCCATACGCAAGGACACTTTTTAAAAAATAGATCAATCTTTTGTACTTTGAAAAATTACAAGATGTATTAATAAGTTTCTTCTACCAGCAATGCATGGCGCCTACGGCACCAGGATGGAGTCTCTAACTAGATTGTTTCTTAGACTTTGCACACTGTTACCATTTCCACAGACGTACTTCCATCATGGCCTGATTAAGTGTTATACCTCTTCTGAACTTCTATGAAGTTATTTCTCCCCCAGTCTGCCCTCTGCCGCCCTTCATGTTCTTTGTTCTGTCTTTTGCACAAGTAGTCTTACAAGATTTTTATCTTCTCCTCTCAGGCTTCTGTCTCACCATTACCTTTAATTAAGTTCTTGTTGAACTGGCATCTCTCCCTTCTCACTTGCATGGTCTCCTCCTTCCCTTCTTTTCTCATTCTTCTGCTACCTTGCCTCTTCCTTTCATAGTAATTAAGTCATTTCTCTTCATTGGTCAGTGATATTCATAGATCTTTCTAATCATCACAAATTAAAATAGGCATGGTTTCATCTTACATATTTTTTTTGCAGAGCTTTAAAGCACAAGTCTGAAATGATGCTGTTGATAAAGTTGTGGGATAACTGGTTGTGTGGCAGTCTGCAGTTTTGATGTTGTAGGCAGAAGGAGCAGTGCCTTTCATAGTTTCTGCTTCCCTGTAATTTCCTAGGTGTTGTCTTGAAAGTGTACGAATATTGTAGTTTTAAGGCAGCCTGCTCTCAATGTTTTAGTATGATGGTTGAGAAATGGTAGGTTACAATTTAATATGGTTAGCTGTCACTTTTAAACTACATAAATGCATAAGCTCTCCCAAGAGCTTCATGTGCTTCTCTGATGCTTGAATGTTCAGAAAGGAAGACAAACAAACTATAACTTTCTTATATGTCAGCTTGCCTTTCTTAAAAGGGGAGGAAGAAGAATAGGATTGTACTTTTGAATGTTTGTTTAGCACTAGTTGATAAATATTTTTCCCCTAACTGTTCTGTAAAATGCAGGGGAAGGAAAAAGGACAGAATAAAAACTAGCTCCCCTTCTAATGCACACCTTTGCAGGAACTTGGTTTCACAGGATCTGACTTTTTTTTTCCCCTGCAGTGCATGTTTATGAACAAATAATCTTTGTATATAGTAAAATGTGTTATTTGAAAGTCAAATAAAATGCAAAACAAATCTGGTTGGCTTGTGTAGATAGTGCGAAACATCAAAGTTGGGCTGCTTGGATTGCTGAATCTGCGTTCATGCAGTTTTCATTTGTGGTCAGTGGAGCGACGTAGCCATGCTTGCAAAGTGTATGTTGGAAACAAAACCACTAGGAGTTTATGGTACAGAAGCCAAGGTAAAGCAAAACTCGGAGATGAAAAAGGGAGACTTAGTTTCTCTACATGAAACTGAATGCTGGAAGGAGTAAGGTTTCATTGCAATAGTATAAAAACAACACATAAGTTTGACATAAAAGGTAGCCCTCTTGTGAAGACACTGTAGTGCTTTGAAAGAAATCGATAGGGATATAATCCCAAGCTTTCCTTGTTGTCTTTTTGTGTAGAGATCAAGACAAAGATATGTGTGTTAATAACAAGAAAAATACTTTATTTTTTCCTCTACAGGAAAAGAAGTGGAAAACAAGCGTTGCAGAACAATGAGGTAATTCTTTCTTCATGTAATATATTTTTAATAATTTGAAAAAATACTGATAGGGTTTTTCTAACTTTAAGTCCCATAATTACAGTTTTATTTTGGACAGAATGGTGGTTATGTGCACCTGGTGCACATGTGGCTTGAATGATACTTTCAGACTTGCACTGGTGAAACAAATGGAAGAATCAGGTTAATCACATATGGCTGAAGTTTGGCTGCATAATGATATGTGCTTGATGTGTACATGTGCTTTTTCATCTCTCTGTGCCTTATGAATGTTTATGGACTAGTGTTATAAGCTTGGCTGTAGGCATAGCAACAAACAGCTGCCTGTAGATTTGGTATGATGTGTATTTGCTTTTTCTTTTAAATAAAAAAGTACGGAACAAGATGTAGAGTCTGACCATTTCTAAAAGGTACTTCAAACTTCTGGTCAGAGGTTTGGCATTTCCCTGGTCTTTTGTGTGTCTGTCAATTCATTTATTTGGAAAGTATATATTATAGCCCTTTAAGTCAAGTTTTTTGTTTCATGTTCAAATAAAATATAACAGTTAGCCTAAAGGGCAGAGCCCGTGATTAGGAATATTGGGTCATATGATGGTACAAATAGATGACTATTCCACATACTTCCATCTTTGCTGAAAACTTAAGAAAAGGCTGGATAAATACAAAGGTGTATGCAAGCATCGTGTTAACTTCTAGCCAGACCTTGACTGCGCTATCTGCCATAAGCAGTTGTATTTTGCATAGCTATACGTATTTGTAAAAGTCTTAACTAGCCTTCTCTTATTCCTACCCATCTTGCATATAATTATGCTGAATGAGGAATTAACAGTCTAAGGAAAAAAAAACCTCTGGGAAAGAAGATATTGGGATTAATGTAAGTGCAACACAAAAGTAGAAATGGGGAAGAGATGAATAGAAGGGAAGAACAGGTTCAGCTCAGACATCAAATAAGTTTAGCCAGGTACTCCTAGAAATTTCGCATGTCAAACATTTCTGAAATAGAAATGACAAACACAAAGCAATAACGTGTAGGGTCATGCTTCATTAGGCCTGGACAGTAGTCTTTAGTTGTTGAGATTGCTTGAATTTTTGTGTAAATAATTTTTAATTGAAACATTTTTATCGTCTACCATATAGCATCCTATCTGGCTAGAATTTTTATCCGTAGCTTGTGTTCACATAGTTTTTTTGAAAAGGACAGGACTATGGTTGACTTCATCCCATGAAAAACAGGTGTAGGCTTATTCACAGCGCATTCAGAGTAAATTTGTGTTTGCTGGGGCTCAGAGCTTGTGCTTGTTGCCTATCATGTTGCATATGTAAACAGTAAGTGAAGAGATTAAGTCGGGCTCTTGGTGCAAGTTTGTGTGGTTTAATCGTCCTTGGAAATAAAAAAATAGTGCTTGATAGGGTTGTCTGAGTTGATTAATGGTGAATTATAGGCTGCTTTCTTTGTCTTCCCTATCCTGTCTCCCTAGTTTTTTCTTTCAGGTTTCCTGCCTGGTTATATGGAGTAAACAAATGCAACTGACCCAAATAAAAGGAGTTTGGGTATAGGAGGAGTTTTAAGTCTGGTAGATTTAGCTCACTAGGAGTGTGTTGCACTGTTTTTTAGAATTAAATGAGTAACGAATTCTGGTTTCACTTGAAGCAAGTTTGGGCTATACAGTCAAGGAGTTTAAACCTTTGATGGTCTAGACAAATGATGGAAGGCATCTTTAAAAATACTGGCTGATGGTGTCTTCTAGAGATAAGCAACGTTAAGAGATGGCAGATTGCATTATAACTTGTAATTGGATGTTTTAATGCTATGGTCTGCATTGTTTGTTTATCACTTTCAATATAGATTTGAAATAAATATTATTTTGTATCATGGCAGCTACTTCCTATTGCAATTTGTTTTGATAGCTTAGTTCTCTTACTTAGGATTTCTGTTAGCTGTAAGGGCATATGCTCCTGATTCTTACATTTCATTTAACTTGTTTGAGCAAGTCTTAAATTGGAGGGAAATACTGCAAACGCTGCAGAAGGAAGGTAGCTGTAAATAACTTGGATAGGGAAAATATCACATCAACATTTAAATAATATGTTACCAAAAAAATCTCACTTTCCTCGTTTTGCTTGTTCTATGTGAAGCAGAAAGAGGGGAAGAAGGAGCGAGCAATGGTGGACAGAGTGTTTATTGCAAGAATATGTCGAATCCTGAAAATAATGGTCCCTAGAACACTTTGTAAAGAGGTAAGCATTGCCTGCAGTAACAAATAAAAATGAGCATTTTGGAGTCAAGTTTTCTTTTGTAATTACATCGGAATTTAAACAAAAGCATACACCTTACTTGAATAGGACTGTTTTAAAATAGCAACATATTAATATAAAAATCTACATGTACGTTCAGTTGTTAGATCACTAAAAAGTTGCATTCTGGTTTCAATTACAAGATAAGCCATTTACTGTCAGGTAATAACTACTGTCTGTAGCATATCTTTTAAAAGGGCATCCAGGCTTTGTTTGATTTGATGCAAGGTAGTACACTTCTCTGTGCAGATGCTTCCTATCTTTAAATAGCATGCTGTTCATCCATAATTTTGCTTTTGTAACTTATATCTAGGCCAACCCTTATTTGACAGTGAATTTGTCAAAAAAAACTTGTTAGCATCATTTCAGGAAAGCTATGCAGCAAGATGAAATTGCCTCAGCATCTTTCTCATGCTTTCCAGAACATCTAAGGTTTTTTTTTTAAAAGAGCGTTAGTTGAGCTCAGAACTTAAGTGTTGGCCTGTAATATATTAGAACTTCAACATACATCAGGCACAAGAGCAATGAATTCCAGCGTACAGAATGTAGAGCAAGCATGGCAGCCAGCTAGCCTGGATGAACAGGGACCTTTGACAGCTCATTCACAAAAGGGAAGTACACAGAAGGTAGTATCATGGATGGGAATGCCTCTGAAAGAGCTGACAGAGCTGGCATCCATCAATTTCAAAAGGTCATGGCCATCAGAAGAGGTTACTGATGATCCCCAAAAAACCCAAGCATCACTCCCATCTTCAAAAACGAGTATACTGGAAGCTACAGGCTGGTCAGCCTCACCGTATTCCTAGTAAGGCTGTGAGCAAATCCTCTGGTAAGCTAACTCCGGCCACATGAGGGATAAAAAGGTGATTGCAAACAGCCAGCCTGGGTTTATGAATAGCAGATCATGCCTTACTAACCTGATTGCTTTCAGTGATGAGATGACTGGCTGTGTGGATAAGGGAAGAACAGAGGATGTTGAATACTTTGATTTTAGCAAGGCCTTGAGACTAAGGTCTCCCCTAGTACCCTCATAGCCAAACTGAATTGGTTGGATGACTGGACAATGAGGTGGATGGAAAACTGGCTGGTCTGTTGGGCTTAAAGTTTTTTGATCAATGGTACAAGATCTGTGTGGTGACTGGTTACTAGTGGGCCCTGTTTTGAGTGAGGAGTTGAAGTACGTGACCTTCAGAGGTCCCTTGCAACCTGTACGACCCATGCTTATGGCAGAAAAGTGTCTCAGAATAGCAGTAACTTCTTTTTCCCTGCAATACTCCATCTTATAAGATGTGTCTGGTATATGTATCAACCAAATACACCTTTTTAAAAGACAAACTTTCTTCATAAAAATGTAATCAGAATTCTATCAGAAATATGTGTTTCCTAATGTGTTTCCTGCAAAGAAAGCAAATACTGCATTAGCTGGGGGCAGCAGGGTAATACTTTTCTGCTAGATACGGTTGGACCACTTAACTAGAAAAAAGTGGTGAATTTTATCCATTGTTTAACTTTTACACTTTTATTTTTGTACTAGACAGGTTATTTGCTGCTTATTGCTGTGATGCTGGTAGTCCGCACATACTGTGATATTTGGATGATTCAAAATGGAACAGTCATTGAAAGGTAGCTATGAACTTGTTGTTTTTAAACATTCCTTCTTGTGTTTAACAGGAAAAGTAATCTGTCAGAACACGCATTCAGACACTTTATAGCTTGCTTATTTATATGAAACAGTTGGAAAACTGGTATAGTTGCAATTTTTTGGGGAGGGGGATCCCTGTATTTTTTGAAAGAAAAAAAATAATTTTTAATCAACTTTTTCTGGTGTTGGACACAATTTTATTTTTTTAACCAAAATTTACTTACTAAATGCTTTTCAGTTCTTTTGGTCACATTTTGTACACTGAAGACTCTAAATCTTATGGTGATCTGAACATCTAAGAGGGCACTTCAGAATGGTGGCATAGTGGTTCTGTGGCATAGACTCAGACATGTTGTTTGGATATTAGGACTGTTACTTCTTCCTACTGAGCTGTTTGCTCTTTAGATTGATAAACACAATGCTTTCGGTCATAAAGTTTTAGAAAGTGTTTTCTAGACCTCTGATTATTCTTGTAGCGCTTGTTGCTAATTGAAGCAAGTCAGAATTTGTCTTGAAGTGTAATTCACAATGATACTGTATTTCAGGAGAGACTTTCAGTGCTTTGTAGAATGGAAGGACTGCTTTGCTTCTCTCTTGTGAGAATCTATGAAAGCAAAGAAGGAGAGGAACTGGTATTCTGTGACCATGAATTTCTGAGCCCTTAATGCAGGCAGTTACTGCAGGAGCAGAAGGGAGATAATTACTTAGTCTGTCACTTACCACTTAACTTACAGAAGTCTGTCATACTTGATCCTACAGCTGATACTACAGGTTTCCACGATGATTTTTTTTTTCTTTGTGTGGTCCACTGAGAATTGGTCCACTTAAGACATGCTAGTTTATACTTTCTTGTTTCTCTTGTAACTAACTCTTAGCTCATGGTTGTTTACAGTGCTATCATTGGCCGCAGCAGAAAAGATTTCAAGAAATACTTGTTTAACTTCATCGCCGCAATGCCTGCTGTAAGTGCTTTTCTTGTGCCAGCCTTTTAGTAGAACATATTTTAAATGTAAATTAAGAATTTGAGGAAAAGATCTCAAATGAGTATCTTAAAACCCATGGAAATTAGTTGTTTTACATGCAGGTCTGTATTAAGACACATTTCATTTTCTGGCTCCACTGTGTGGGAGATGTTACCAGCATGTTTCCCTATTGATTGCAACCATTTTTCTGACAGATACATTTAGGCTTTCAGGTTGGTTTTGTTGATGGCAATTTTGACTGATAGCTTAACGTGCCATCTGTAGTACTGCATAGTAACATCTTATGGATTGGGTGACGTTTCAACATTATAGGTGTGGGACTCTTGACACCATTGAAGATGATTTCTTCCTAGTCTTTAATTTTTATATTTCTTACAGCTTCTTCTGAGATTTGTTACGTGTTTTTCCATCTCTGACCTGCACCAGATAGAAATAATTGTTACTACCTAATAGATAATGTACCTGGTTTACAACAGATTTAAAAGCGAATTGATCAATTTAAGGTACTGATTGTCAAATGGTGGCTCTTTTCTAGAGCTTATGAGAAGAGCTGAAGGTATGCTATATGAACATAGTTTTATATTAAATCTTTTGATGTGGTGAGATCCACTGGGAACTGGGGTTTTCAGAAGTGTAGGCAGAAACCTAATTAGCGGTCCTGCAGACGCTATATGGTTGGTCTTAGGTATGTTAATAGTATTATTGACTTCGAGGGGAGAATTCACCTGTTCTAAAGTGTTTGCATAATCTATGCTGCAAGCTGATCTAAGCATATTAAATCTTGTTAGCTAAATATTGAAATACCATCTCTTATTTTAGATCTCTTTAGTGAATAACTTCCTGAAGTATGGTCTAAATGAACTGAAACTTTGCTTCCGAGTAAGGCTTACCAGATACCTCTACGAGGAATATCTTAAGTAAGTAACACCTTGTTAATGCCTAAGGGTTTTAAAAACTGTTCTGGTTTTGTCTGGGATAGGGTTAATTTTCTTCCTAGTAGCTGGTACAGTGCTGTGTTTTGGATTTAGTGTGAGAATAATGTTGATAACACACCGATGTTTTAGTTGTTGCTGAGCAGTGCTGACACTAGTCAAGGACTTTTCAGCTTCCCGTGCTCTACGGTCTGAGAAGGCTGGAGGTGCACAAGAAGCTGGGAGGGGGCACAGCCAGGACAGTTGACCCCAACTGGCCAAAGGGACATTCCATACCGTGTGGCGAGATGCTCAGTACATAAACTGGGGGAAAGCTGGCTGGGGGGGCTGCTGCTCGGGGACTGGCTGGGCATCGGTCGGCGGGTGGTAAGCAATTGCACTGTGCATCACTTGCTTTGTATATTCTATTTTTTTTTTTTCTTTTCAATTATTAAACTGTTCTCATCTCAACCCATGAGTTTTCTCACTTTTACTCTTCCAATTCTCTCCCCCATCCCACCGGGGCAGGAGGAGAGTGAGCGAGCGGCTGGGTGGTGCTCAGTTGCTGGCTGAGGTTAAACTACAACAAAAGCTAAATTGATTAAAATCAAACCAAATCATTTTAAGTACATAGTAAGAAGGTAGCAAGGTGCTTAATAGGTTAGGTGTACTGTTTAGAAAAGGCTTTTGGTTGCAATTAATTTGCAGTTAAGGATAAGCTGCACAGATACAAAGACAGCAAAGTTGGCTCAATTAGGAAAAACAATAACGCACTGTACTGCTTCCGTTACTGGGTCAGCTCCCAAAGTACTTCAGTTGCTTTCATATAGGACTAGTCATGCATCCAATTCAGTCTGCAGGATTAACTTGAGTAACTGCTTATGTCCTTCTGCACTGGATTTTGGTTGTCAGGTGTGCTGATGCAGAGTTTGTGAGGGTTTTCTAACTCTAAGTGCAGCAGTAGTGCATAGAGCAGCGTGGGCCTGAGCTTCAACTAAGACATCCTGGAGCCTAAACAGTTTTGCAGGATTTAATGTGGATCTGATCAGGCAGAAGCACAAGCTATGTTGACTTCATACAGTCATTTAATGTTTGCACTGCTTTCCATCTCAGTTGTATGAAGCAGGGGGGTTCCAGTTATTTGAGATCCCGGGTAATTAATTTTTTTCTGCCACTTAGCTATTGTTTTGTTTCAGAGCTTACACGTACTACAAAATGGGAAATCTGGACAACAGAATAGCTAATCCAGATCAACTCCTTACACAGGATGTGGAAAAATTCTGTAACAGTGTAGTGGACCTGTACTCGAACCTTAGCAAGGTAAGTCTTTTCAGAGAGAACTTTGAGTAATAGGTGTGGACGTTTAGGATATGATATCAGAGCTCAAAACAATTGCTTGCATTTCTATGTGTATTGCTTGGAGTACGGTGCTAAAAAAATTGTTTATGATATTGTTTCACACTATCTGTGGTTTCCGTGACCTCTGCTAAAGCACTGTTGTGGATTGTTACAATTTGTATTAAATTTTCTTTTAAAGAACTTACCGCATTCTTTTGCAGATGAGCAGTGATGAGTACGCTTTCTCAGCTAGTTAGGTTTCAGAAGAAAACCAATGACTAGCTTTTAGTTACATACGAATATTATTTTGGGTAGGGAGGTGTGGTTGAATGAGCATTTCCCTCTGTTTTTGGTGTAAATTTTAGGGGAGTTAGGTAATGAAGTAGAATGCTGTTGAAATTTTTAGACTAATTTTTTTTTTATGCTATGTTGTTCATACAAGCAGAAGTATAAAGCAGAATACAAGTTGATTTGTTCAAAACCTTCTAGCTACAAAACCTGTAGTTCAGCTGCTCTAGCTTTGAGAGTGTGTACGGAACAGAATGCTTGCAAATTGGAATATTGCTTCTATCAGGTACATAGCCAACTATATGGCATTATTCTGCTCAGTATTTCTCATGATTACTTCAGTTAAGAAGTAATCACAGGGTCTAGTCCAACTTTGCTTAGTGAGCAGAGTGTTATCACAGACCTAAAATAGTGAAGTACCTTTTTATACGGTATGTACTTTATCTGAAGGTCATGATGCTTTTATGTTCAGTTCTTGAGTGAATGCTTTCAGAAAAATGTCATGTGGCTGAGATTCCTTTTATTTTAGCATTTAGCTTGTATAATAGGTTAACTAGTGTTGTGCTTTTAATGCAGAGCTATAACTGTTCTTGGGGTGGTTGGTGGTTTCTGGACCATTTTATATTCATGTTACGTTGGTGTTCTAATGCTTTTTTCTATGCTTCTCTTGCAGCCCTTCTTGGATATAGTTTTGTATATCTTCAAGCTAACAAGTGCAATAGGAGCTCAGGTAAATTGAGTGGTGTTTTTAGCATTATAAGCAAACTTTCCCTCCTTTGGTTATAGCCTTGTATCTGTTTGGAGTCTGAGGAAAACTAGATGTTAATTATAGATTCACATGTTATTTGAAAGGATATACTGAAAATATGCTTTTATACTTAATGTTTTGTATGCTTTAACGTTCCCTATCTTGGCAAGCAAAATAAAACGCAGAATTTGCAGGCATTCAATCAACTATTTTAAGAAACAAGAGTTCTTTATTTTCTTCTAGCAGTTACTTGGGAATTCCATTTAGTGCAGTACCCTTCTGGCTGCTTTTATCTTGTGTGACTTCCATTTAAGGGAGAAAATAAGTTTTCTGTTTCTTTGCAGCCTCTATAAAGGGGACCCATTCCTTGCATTGAGCTGTATGACCATTATATTCTTCTCTCCGCCCTCCCCTCCCCCCTCAAGGTGAATCATTACAGAAAGAATTCTTCAGCTTAGTAAAACGATACGTTAATGAAAATGTTCAGGGTTTGACAAGAAGTAGCTCTGGGACACGTGACGTAGATTTTGTAGAAACAGACTGCAGCAAGGCTTAGGTGAACTTAGGTATTTTTCCAGTCTCGGATGTCTTTGCATTGCTCTCTGTAATACTTAGTTATTACAGGCAGCTTGTGCCAAATTCAGTTTATGCCTTGGTTTTATGCCATGCCACACTTCAGTAATACTGAAGCATGCTGTTTGGGATCCCTGGTCTATTGCAGCTTAGGATCCAGAAGAATAAGAGGTCCCCGCCAGGACTGCTTGAGAGAAGCAGGAAATGTGTTGGAGATGTATAGATCAAAGGAGGGAATGGGATTGAAATATTGACTGCTATGACAATTGTAGCAAATACAGAGAAAAAGAAGTAGGTAGAAATGCAGGAGAGGAAATGAGAAAGGACCAGGCAATTATTAATGAAATAAGCTAAGACAGTGGAACACGGAGATTGCAATGGGTGATGATAAAAGCGTGAGTAGAAGGCTGGGATGGGAAGGGCATCTGGGGACAGAGAATTAGTAAAATTAGTAAAACGGTATCTACGGCACAAAAGAAAGGAACATGATGGGAATTGCAAGAGTAATTGAATTGGTAACGTAGACACATGGGAGGTGAGAATCAAGGGATTCATGCTTTCTGGGCATTTTGGATACAGGTGTTGCAATCTGAGACCATCAGGATGGTAAGCTTTTATTCTTTTTTGATATTCACAGGGTCCAGCTAGCATGATGGCGTACTTGATTATTTCGGGGTTTTTCCTTACACGTTTAAGGAGACCAATTGGCAAGATGACTATTATAGAACAAAAATATGAAGGGGAGTATAGATACGTCAACTCACGGCTTATTACAAACAGGTACAGATTTACTTGGATGGCAAGGTATAAGTGACAAAGTAATACTGTAGTGTAAATGGAACCTGTATGTTAAAATATAAGAGGAAAGTCTGATGCTATCAGTTCTGAGCAAGGTGTTTGCATCTTTATGCAGATTATTATTAAATAATTCATATGTGCATTATATTCCTAATTCAAAAGACAAACTGTAGCTGGGGTATAATAAGCTTATGTTCTACTGTTGTGAAAAAGTACAAACTCTTTATTTCATAAGGTAACTGAAAGAACTATATTCCTGTGTTTTATGGCTGACTCAAAGACTGTCTTTAACAAAATGAAGTTGCATTCTTTGTGGGTTGTTTGTTGGTTTTTTTTAGTGAAGAAATTGCTTTTTATAATGGAAACTTGAGAGAAAAACAGACTATTCACAAAACCTTCCGTAAACTGGTAAGACTTCTTTTATCTTTTAAAACATTTAAAGCAAAACTTCAGTTAACTTTATCATGGTGATTCTTGACATATATTAATGTAAACTAAATTATAGTGGCTTGGTGTTTATGCTGCTACAGTTACGAGACTTAAAAATGAATTAGTAGGCTATAAGCAGAACACAAGTTCCTGATAGAATGGTCTTCCTCTTGCCACTTCCCTCCTTTTCACCCACCACAGTTACTGTTCTCTCACTGCTTAGTTTCACGTGTAGGTTGTTTTGATCTAGAGTGCAAGTCTTTGCCAGCAGGGACAGTTGTGGAGTGCTTCTCACAGTTAGGTGACAGATGTTGTTGAGGTATTTGTGACTTACTGAAAAATAACTAAATTTGGAATCAAATTCTGTAAAATAATAGAAGATAGTAAAACAGGTATTGATATAATTTGACCTTTTTTCTTCTGTAATGTACCAGGTGGAACACTTGCATAATTTCATCCTGTTCCGGTTCTCGATGGGTTTCATTGATACTATCATTGCCAAATGTAAGTGTTTGTCCAGTGCTAATGGACTGCTATAAATAAAAAAGTGTTAAACTTTTTACATGAGAAGTCTCTTTTTTCTTGTTGCTTCAATTAATGTTTAGCTTAATATTTACTCTTAAACTGCAGACCTTGCCACTGTGGTTGGTTACCTGGTTGTTAGTCGTCCATTTTTGAACCTGGCTGATCCTCGTCATCAGAATAGTACTCATGCAGAACTTTTGGAGGTAAATAGAACAGAACTAAAACAACTTCCTGAATTTAAGTTTTATTAGTCTACACAAAGAAACTTTCTTCTGCTCTAGGATTACTACCAAAGTGGAAGAATGTTACTGAGAATGTCTCAAGCTTTGGGCAGAATAGTCCTAGCAGGCCGTGAAATGACAAGATTGGCTGGGTAAGCTTAATAGTGGTGGTGTAAAATAGTCTTTCTTAAAGTTATGTTGTTGCTGTTACTCATCTCATTTTAAGAAAGTGACTGTAGAATTAAAACAAAATGAGCTTATGTGCTTTGCTCATTGCAGCACCCTAAAAATCTAGAAATTATAAACATTTTATGCTGAAAACGTATTTGAAGACGTGCTGATTACGTCCACTAGTAATTTCATATCTGAATAGTAGCAGCATACAGTTTGAATATTTAATTGAAAAGACATTGTCAAATGCCTGTAAATCAACTACGTATTGATTATTTACCAAACTTTTTTTTTTTACATCTTAAGAAGAAAAGTTACCACATATTTGGCTATTACAGGAAAAGGTTCTTGTAAATATTGTGAATATTGGACAACCTCAGTGCAACTCTAAAATGTAAACATTCTGTTTCTATGCTGGGTTGAATAACTTTGTCATTTTGACAGTTTAATAGAGTACTCATTAGAGCTTCTATGGATTTCTAAAAATTCTGGAGATTAATTACTTATAGTTCATTTATTTTTTTAGCTTCACAGCTCGAATTACAGAATTAATGCAGGTTCTGAAGGACTTGAATAGTGGCAAATATCAGCGTACTATGGTGTCGCAAGAAAAAGGTAGATGTGACATAATATGAAATATGTGCATCTCTGTGTAGTGCTCCAGTTCCTAATACTTCTTTCTTAATTTAAGATGCAGATAAAAAGCAAGTTTTGCCTTTGATACCTGGATCTGGAGAAATTATCAACACTGATAACCTTATCAAGTATGTTTACAAAATTTCCATAACTTCAATATTTTTAACGTAGTCTGGCTTTAAGTCTTTCCCTCTACCACTATTAATAGCGGTTTTAATACATATTATTACAATATGCAATTCCTGTTGTACTATAGTTTCTGTACAAATAGTTCTACCTCACTCCCACTCAGCATTTCTATTCCGTAAGTCAATCCTTGTCCTCCCATGTTATCAGAAGACATAATATGCTGTCTGGACTTAGGCTTTTTGGTAACATTTCCTGCTGTCCTTTGGAATATGACTTCCCAGACCATTTTGTTAACACTTTATCAAATTTCCTCTCAGAAATATGTTGGTTACAGATTTCATTCCATGATATAATTCAGCTGTAAAAATCAGGGGCAAGTCTGTATTCAGTTTAAAAATATTTGCTTGTATTTCTGTATGCTTGGACAGTTCATTGATGTACTGAAGTAGCAGTCAATTCCTCAATTCTTTGCAGCCTGAGGAACATAGCATTGACATAGTAGTACTACTTAAAGGCATAAAGTGAAGCCAGTTAAGAGATTAAATAGCCTCAAGCTGGTCAATGTGGGAAGCACATAGTGGAGCAGAGGGGAGGGAAGAGGGAAAGGAGAAGGGAGATGATAAAGCATTTTTATTATGGAAAAAAAAAAGCAAGGGGGAGGTGAGCAGAGACGTCATTCATTGTGTATCCTAGAACTAATGGGATACACTTCTGCCAGCAGGTTTAAAATGAAGTGCATCCTTAAATATAGGTTTATATGCACAAGATGTTTTGGAGACCAAAGGCTTAGAAGGATTCAGAAAACAAATATATGAAGGAAGAAAAAAAATCTATAGATGTTTGTTTAACATTAAGGTATCACTTTTGGTTGAAGAATTTCCTTAACTGTTAATAGTTGGAAACTGGGACAGTGTACTGAATGATGTACTGCTGAAGTCTTGCCCCATTCCTTAAATCTCTTGAGTAAGCATGCAGTATTAGCTGCTTTTAGGCAACTGGTTTTGGGGTTTTGTTTGTTTTGTTTTTTAATATTGCGATACAAATAGGTTTGATCATGTTCCGTTGGTGACACCTAATGGAGATGTTTTGATTGAAGATCTTAACTTTGAGGTAAGTTTTTTAATACCATAGAAAACTATATTAATATAAAATTTTTAAAGTGAAGATTATAATTCCAGAGGTAATCTGATTTATAAAAAAATGTGCAAACAAAAATGGAGAGGTGCTTATATGGTATGCTTAAATTTGAACAAAATTAATCATCACGTTAGTTTAAAAAAAAAAAAGGAGGAAATTAAAAAAAAATGTTTTTATTGTTACAAGTGTGTTTTCTTCCACTTGCAGTTGGTGCTAAACTACTTGGGGGGGGGAAAAAGTACTTATTGGTGGAAATTACCCATTGTAATGTCAGAAAGTACTGTCTACGAGCCTATGAGGATACCACCTTGTCTCATTGTTTGTAGAAGCTTTCAACAGTATTTTCTCACTACCCTTTTTAAGGTGTTGGCTTTGCACTTTTAGGTTCGATCTGGTGCAAATGTTCTGATTTGTGGGCCAAATGGGTGTGGGAAGAGCTCACTTTTTCGTGTTCTTGGTGAGGTAAGGGAACTCTTCTAAATAAACAGGGGAGAACCCAAACCACTGTTGTAATTGGACTTTTTTGGTCAAGTTTAAACCTTTTTCTTGTTGCAGTTGTGGCCTTTGTTTGGTGGGCGTTTAACAAAACCTGTAAGAGGAAAGTTGTTCTATGTTCCCCAGGTGAGGCCAAGTACTTTAATTTACAATAGTGTTCTCTTTCTTCCTACTTTGACTATGTTTAGAAATATTTGGCATACCTTTTTGTTTCTAACTGTATCTCAGAGACCGTATATGACTCTTGGAACGCTCAGAGATCAAGTTATATATCCAGATACTTTGGAAGATCAGAGAAAGAAAGGGATTTCTGACCAGGTAACGATAATTAGTTTATTAACCCTTTGTCTTGCTTAAGATGAGTAATGCTTCAGATTTAAAAATACTGAAATCACTATTAAAACCACTGGATTTAGTTTGTTTTTAATATTTATCAGGGTTGATAGTCCACCAGTATAATAGTATAACCCTTTATAACCTTTTTGAATCATTTCTTTATTAAGTTCACTTAAGCTCTTTTTGTCATTCCTGTTTCAATAAAAGGTGCTGAAGGAGTACTTGGATAATGTCCAGCTGGGTCAAATCTTGGAACGTGAAGGAGGCTGGGATAGTGTTCAGGATTGGATGGATGTACTCAGCGGGGGAGAAAAACAGAGAATGGCAGTATGTCTCAAAAGCATAAATGCTTAACGAATAGTGGACATAGGTTGAAAATGTAATCTGAATTATAAGTGATTTTTTTTTACTAAATATTAATATTTTACTTAAAGAAGAAACCCCCAAAATGTGTAATACCTGAATACTGAGAAAACAACCTAAAATAGTGCCTATTGTACTCAAAACTTAATAGTAAATATTGACCTTTTACCATACCTTACGTTTTGATTTTATAAACAGAAGTTCTAAAAGAACTGTTTTATTAAAAAAAAAAAAGGAAAGATAATACACAGCTCTCGGATTTTCAGGCTTCAGTGGGTGCCAACTTAAAAGAAATTCCCTTGCCACAGTAAATTTTTGGACACTAATTCTTAGTTTAACTTCTAACACTGAACTATTGGTTGCGGTTCTGTATCCACAGTAGCTTTTTGGTTTGCATTCCAGATGGCAAGGTTATTTTATCATAAGCCTCAGTTTGCAATTCTGGATGAATGCACCAGTGCTGTTAGCGTTGATGTAGAAGGCTACATTTACAGCCACTGCCGAAAGGTGAGATCTTTGTTTCGAGAATTATACCTCTGTATGTTAACAGGAAGCTTAAAATGATACAAGGTCCACTCTTCCTTATGTCTAGTGCAGATTAGCAACAAAAAAAAAATCTTAGAAGGGCATGCAAGGACCCTTTATGCACACTAGAATTCAATAATTGTTTTGTAGTCTTAAGACAATTTAGATGTACATGCGCCCTCTGTATATCAGAGAACTCTTAATAACTGGTAAGTAACCTTACTTTTCCAGCTAAACTCTTAGAATGTCAAGTGAAGATCAAATAATCTAAAATTTTATACTTTTTTGTTGTTCGAGAGGTTTCTTTTGGCCTGGGCAACAGAAGTGAAAGGCTGGAAATTAACATTTCCATCTATTTTGAGATATGAAAAGCCAAGAGCTCTAGGAAAACAGGATGATACTAAATACAGTTTTCTTTTTCCTTTCCCTCTTATACTCACTTTTTCAGATCCTATGTAGTGCCATGTAAAATACCAATAAGATTCAATTTCATATCCCTAGCCTGGGAAAGAATGGGCTTGAAATAACATTAATTATTGAGTAACAATATTCTCAGAATGGTAATGGAGCAAAGCTGTGCATCCACTGAAATATGTGCTTGAAACTTGAAATGGGAACTTAAGGAGCCTTCTATGGTAGTAAATTGATGCTAGATGAGGACTCTGCTGAAGAATGGACTTGATTTCTTGAACTTATTTTCATAGAATCATAGAATCATAGAATGTTGGAAGGTACCTCCAAGATCATCGAGTCCAACCATCAACCCAACAACACCATGCCCACTAAACCATGTCCCTAAGCGCCTCATCTACCCGTCTTTTAAATACTTCCAGGGATGGTGACTCAACCCCTTCCCTGGGCAGCCTGTTCCAATGTTTAACCACTCTTTCAGAAAAGAAATTTTTCCTTACATCCAATCTAAACCTCCCCTGGCGCAACTTGAGGCCATTTCCTCTCGTCCTTTCGCCAGTTACTTGGGAGAAGAGACTGACACCCACCTCGCTACAGCCTCCTGTCAGGTAGTTGTAGAGAGCAATGAGGTCTCCCCTCAGCCTCCTTTTCTCCAGGCTAAACAACCCCAGCTCCCTCAGCCGCTCCTCATCAGGCTTGTTCTCCAGACCCCTCACCAGCCTCGTTGCCCTTCTCTGGACACGTTCCAACATCTCAAAGTCCTTCTTGTAGTGAGGGGCCCAAAACTGAACACAGTATTCGAGGTGCGGCCGCACCAGTGCTGAGTACAGGGGCACGATCACTTCCCTGCTCCTGCTGGCCACACTATTTCTGATACAGGCCAGGATGCCGTTGGCCGCCTTAGCTGCCTGGGCACACATTTTACCACATTAATATCAATACCCTGACATTTTTCTAAGTCTGTGTTGCATATACTTACTCTATTATTCTGTTAACTTGAATGTTCATTTGCACTTTTGTTTGAGAGTTACTGTTGCCAAGTGGCTATTGCATGTTACTGACAAATAGAATTCCTGGTTAAGCTGTCCTTGCAGAAAGAAAAAAAAACCGTTACCCCGTTTTATCATCAGAGCCATTTTGTCCTTTAATTGGTGCTACCGTGAGGGATGCTTAATTAACTGAGTTGCAAGGAAACAGAGGAAGATTATTCACCTTTAAATTGTCACTTTAAGTTTATAATTCATTAATAGCTTCTGTTGTTTTGGCTTTTTTTGCTGTTAAAGTAGACTTCCTTTAATCACGAGGTTTGTTGTTTTACCTGCCTCCTACCTTACTGCCTTTGCCCAGTTCATTCTACGTTTTGCCAAATCATTAGGAGCAAAAGAATGGTGAAATCAATTAAAAAAGATAAATCCCTCCTACTTTTTTTTTTACTGCAAAATCTTGTATTAGGGCTACATAGGTATACTGTTAATAATAGAGTCTGGAAGTTTATGTTTATGAATTTAAGCTCTTCAGCTGATGTCATGCTGAAAAATAAGTAACACCTAATCCGTGAGAAAAAATTAACTGCTTTATTGTGTGTATTTTCTTCATGTAGGTTGGCATCACTCTCTTCACTGTCTCCCACAGAAAGTCACTCTGGAAACATCATGATGTATGTAGTCTTTGCTTTTGCTAAGGATACCTGTAGGTGGTAGGGGTTTTGTCAATTTAATAGAAAATCAAACAACTTTACAATTCAAGGTGTTCTCATTTTACATACTAATAGGTCATGTTCTGTTTTTTTAAAAAGGTTTTACTTTCATAATCCGGTTGCACTATTTGAAATATTCTTACGCTTTTAGTTATGAAAAGTAACCAAAAATCCTTAAATGTGTCTGTAAAAGTAGCCTCAAAAATACGAAAGGCTCACTAGATACTTAAGCCTTCTTTCTTAGCCTCAACGCCCCCCCTTGAACAAGAATCCAGTAAACAGCGTGGAGTTTTTGCTTTCAAGATGCCTAATATATCTACGCATAAAAAAAGTTCATCTCTAATACATGGAGTTCTTTTCTTCCAAACTAAGATTTTACTGTTGTTATTACTTTTTATGCAGACAGACTGTATGTGTGGGGAAAATACTGAATTAATACACAGGGATGAATGTGTACCTTCAGTATATTGTCACAAAACCCAAGATAGCAGTGTTAAGTCTAGGTATGACCACTAGCAGACTGATGGATGATATGAACAAAAGCAGTTTAACTCTTTTTCCAGAGGCAATTGAATTTAATGAAACGTGAGGTGGGAGAAGCTTACCCTCTGGCTAGCTGAGTTTAAGATTTTGTATTAGGACTACTTCAAAATATGATTTATTTAGGCATTTCTAGATCTGGTAATTTTTAGGTGGTTGATAACGTATCTTCTTTTATTTCAGTTTTACCTGCATATGGATGGCAGAGGAAACTACGAATTCAAGAAAATAACTGAAGACACAGTTGAATTTGGATCTTAAAGTCATGAACTGAACTGCTACAGAGACTGATGCTTACAGGAAGTGTGTAGACTGGCAGACATTGTACCATAAAACTACTCAGCTTGTTTTTTAAACAAATTAACTAGGATAACCCAAAACAAGCTGTTAAGCGTTTATATTATGTAGGATATTGCTAATTGTGTATATGTTGGTTTAATTATTGATATGTACTAAGAATGTCCTTATTCTTGTGGTTTAAAAACCTGCCTAAATTAAATTGGGCTTAAATCAGTGTAACCTGATTCATCCTGGGATGCAAACCATTTGAAATCAGCTGATTTGACTTTTGTAGACCTTCTTTCCCTTCGGTGAAAAGCCCTGTTAAAATTAGGGTTGCTACCTCTCTCGTTCCTGCAAAGCAGTCTTGGATTTTTGCTCTGTTCTATGCATATTTCTGAGTTATCTCACACGGTGCAGGACATTCTCCCATCTTCAGATCTGTGCCCCGTTAAATGAAAGAGCCTTTTCCTTGACCAAGCCTTGTGATGTAGCCAATATGCCCTTGCTGATAAAGGATGGACTGAACCTAAAAGACAAAACTAATTCCTTCTGCTACAAAAATTAAGCTTGTTCTTTGCTGGGTTTTGGATTCTCTTTAACATCTGTCTGTCCATGCAATTCTCTCTGCTGCTCCGCAGTCCCATTCTTTCCCAGTGTAGCAAGAGCTTCATCTATCCCTCACCCCAGCTGCCCTTTTTCTGTCGGAGAAATACTATGGTAATGAAGAGTTGAGAGGAGGCTGAAGGAGGAAAGGACTGACCAAAAAAAAAGAAAAAGGGAAAAGAAAAGTGATGTTCCTTGTATCAAACAATCTTGTGCATGTTTTCAGCTCTGAAGAAATGAATGGCTCCCACAAGTAGAAACAGAGACAAGAATGTGGGTCCAGTCATTCTTCTCTTGAATTAGTAGGGGTTAGAATGGACTCAAAAATGTTAATCTGTGAAATAGCAGACTGTTGTCTGTCCTGTGTGTGTTCAGTCCTGCAATACAGCAGTTGCTTTTCCAAGTTCCTCTTTTTCTCCCCCTTCAAAAAATCAGATCTGATGGTTTTAGCCACCCTTCAGATCTGAGTTTGAAAGTAAGTGATAATGGTACTTCCTGTTTGGTCTTCTGGGCTGTGAAGCCTAAAATGATGCTTTCATCCTTCACATTTATTCTCTTATTTGTCTTGATTTCTGATACAAATTATTCACCCGTGATTCTCGCTATTGTCTAAGAATCTCTAGTCCCTGTTGGTTTTCTTGTTCCAGCTGCCAAATCCCCTTGAAGAAACCAAACTCTTTAAATAGTTTACTGTAATGGTGTTTTCCATACGAATAATTACTGTGGTTGCCATATGACTTTGACAAACATAAATGCAGCAAGGTGATTTTTGTGATTGGGGAGTAGGAAGGTATAACTCAAACTGAATTCCTGTTTAGGCTTTAAAACAAAAATTTACAATGCCTGTTGTACAGAGAAGGTCTAGTAGTTCTTTAGTGTTCCATATAAGGTAGAATATAGGAATGCACTACATGAAGGCATGCATAAAATATGCAATAAACCTGTTCTCTGTGCATCTTTTATCAAGGGTTTAGACTAAAAACACAAACAGCTTTTTATAAAATGGATATGTACTTGGATGTTAATTTTTACCCCATTTGATTAGTCATCATCTTTCACATTGAAGTTGCTACCTGTTAATATTTTTCCTTTTATCATAGTTCTTGCCCATACCTGTCAGTACGACTGTTCTTTCGTAGTACTCAAACGCAAACAGCTATCCTGGTATAAGAATCTGGTGACTACTGTAGATTCATAGTATAATGCATCGATGAAAATCAAAACAGCCTCTCTGAAGTGTAGCATATTCAAGAGAATAAGGTACCAGAATACATTTTTGTGCTTGGTCCACAAGAAGGCGAATAGATGTTTCACTTTACTAATTTTTTTCTGTTCATTCAGATTCTCACATCAGCCATAACTAACAGGTAGCAGCATGCTGTGGGTGAGGTGGTAGTCTTTTTTTTTAATCGTAACCGTGAAAATAGGGATGCCAGATGGTTCTTTTTTTGTGAAAGTTCTCAGCACAAATGCAACTTCTTCTCTTGGAAGGGATGTTTTAGTAGCCTTTCAGAGAGACAAAGGAAAAAAAAAACCAACTCTAAAATGAGAAAGTTGCTATTATCCTTGTGACTAGGGCAGACTTTGCAGTGGAGTAGTGAACTTGGAATACTTTAGTGTATTTTTAACACTGACAAGCAAAACCACACACAGCACGCTTATATAGCACCCCAGCAGCCAATCCCAAGGTACTTTACAATTCAATTGGTTAATAACAGGTTTTTGTGTAATCTCAGATTTACTTTAAAAACTAAAACCAAAAAAATTAAAAATCCAACTCCATAAGCAAGGAGGAATAGGTTTGCCTTTAGATGCCATGAAGTCCATTGAAACTGAGGATGCTAGTATCTCCTTAGGGCCAGGACTTAGCGTTTCTAAATATACTGGAAGGAAAGAAAAATATTCTTCTGCGCTTGATTGTAAGAGAGGCTTATAAAGAAAGTATAAAAAAGAACGATGTTTTAGAATTATATTCTTAAAAGGCCTTACATTAAAGTATTTTGAGGTAGACTTGGTCTAATGAAAGATTGTAAAAAATCTAATGAAAACGATCCAAGTCTCAGTTCTGTTGCAGAATTGCACTGTGATACTGTATTTTAGCTGTTAGGTCTTTTTAATAGCACAAGTTGGAAGTTTGTAAATTGGAATTCTGAACTATCTTAGTAAGACAAAGTACTGATGAATGTTTTCAGTCTCAAACTGTTGGTGCTTTGAAGATGGTACTGGTGATAGTCAGGTGGCTGCATTTCAACAGTGGTGGGAAACATTCCTGTATGTAAATACTGTAAAGTGCTTTGGAGGGGGAAACGGCGCTATATAAATGTAAGACATTAAGTGCCTCTGAAATAATAATAAATCTAAAGATAAAATATATCTAGGCTTTTTATGTTTCTTGATGATGTGATTAGGAATTTTGTAACAATACAGTGAATGCATACTCAACAAATCTCAAGTTACTTCATGAGCCAGTTGACTTGCGTTCGGCTTAAAGTCCGTAGTACTGTCCGAAATTCACCCTGGCATCGGCCAGATGATGCCATCCAGTTGTAGGCTTAACAAAAAACATGAGCTCAGTACTTGAAGATACGTACTTGGAGCAATTGGATTATAGGTGCACTAATCTGTTTTAAGTCTGCACTGATTCTGACCTCTCCTCTCTCTCCTTTGTCCACTGGCCACTTCTTTTCCCTTCAAGGTTATTGATTTTTAGAAGGGTGTGGGCCTGAATAAGGTTAACATAATATCAGTACTTAATGTGGTAATTCTTTTGAGTGCTCCTTAATCTTTGTACTTTGAGGAAAACAGGATAATCACTCTCCACCTTTATTTTGTTTGTGATGTTTTTAATGTTTTTCTTTGCTGTGGTAGACATACCAGCTATGAGGATACTTGAAACTCAGTAGCGTTAGAGTGAAACCGAGATATGCTTGAGTGAACTGATTTTAAGGGTCTTCTCCTGTGATCAGTGTTTTCTAATGCTAATTAGTAGTAATTTTTCCTTCTTTTAGCTGAGATTAGTTGTGCAACAAGTGTATTTGTGTAGCATTCTTAAAGGGTAGAGCTCCCTTTGAAAGGAAATTCCTCAACGAAGGATGCAGTCTAAACACCAAAGTGTCATTCAACTTAGCTGATGAGCTGCAGAGAAAAAATGGATGTGGATGTGATCTTTAATACTTAAATTTAATAGAGTAGTGTGAAGTCTGTTACTTGTTCAACTCTGGGCTGTCAGCTACCCAGTTCATTCCAAATGCTTGGTTTGTATGCTTCAACACTTCAATTCTTCCTTATGTAGAGGAAAAACATCAGTTCCAGGAACGGTAGGTCTAAAACCATGGAGCAACAAATTCAAACTCCTTTTGAAGGATCAATCCACCATCTTTTGAGGAGGTTCAGTAGCCTTGGTCCAGCTTAATAAATGAATGTGTAATAAAGCTCCAGACAGCTGTCCCCTCTCAGCAAAAATTAACCTTTCTTGACGAAGACTATGTTGTTTTGGGAGGTGATGGTGCTTTCTGCAGGACTAGCATGAGACTGGAAAAAACTGCAAGGTGAACAGAACATCACTGTTTGTCATCTTCCATCCCAAGTGCAAAGCATGCTTCACTGCATAATGGATATATTTTTTTCTTGCCAAAAAAAAAAACCCAAACCAGCAGGAAACGTGCACAAACATCCAACCTACCTCTGAGCCTTGTACTTCTTCTGGGAAAAGTTGGCAGAGTAAGCTACGTCCTAAGCAGTACGCATGTTGCAGGGATGTTTCTTGCCCAGAAGTGGCACAGATAGAGTGGAGTAGACAACACCCTGCTGGACAGCCCAAACATGAGATTACTTCAGCACCATTTGAAAGTGACTTGTGCTGTAAGAAAATTCGGGATGTACTGGCACTTCATCAGCTCTGTACTGTATACTAGAGAAGATGACTAGTGAGAAACAAAGCAGGATGCAGTGCTGCCATGACAGCTTTTTAATTAAATCGCATCTAGTATTGACAACTTAAATGACTTACTATGCTTCTGCAGAATAGGGAACTGAATCTTCATGTTTCTTAAATCTATAAAGAAGAAATATCCTGTTGATTAGGACTGGAGAGAAAGAACCAATTTAGTGATTCTTCCACAGGATTCAGCTCTTTGCAGACTCGACAGATACCAGTGTGCCACCTGATCTTTGGTGTTCTGAAGTGGTCTAGAAATGTGAGAAAACATTAAGATGTCCTATCGTCAAGACAGGAGTTAAAAATCCAGTATTAAAATTTATATATAATTGTCATACATACTATGAGATGTCATAGAAACGTCCATGGTAATGATCACCTGAAAACCAACTGTGAAAAATAGTAGGGGGGGAAAGTTGCCCTGGTTTTATAGAAAAAGTAAACTGCAACTTTTATCTGTCAAGAAGAAAATCAACAGTGTGCAAGTTCAAATTTCTGCTTATAAAGCTGCTGTTCAAAACATTTATTTCTGTGTAATGTATTTGCTTCCTTATCAGGTGTAGATACCAGTTGGTTTGTGCCGTCCTTTTCATGAGCATGGAAAGAGGTTTCTCGGATTTATGAGTCAGTGATGTGCAGCTGTTTGGGGAGGAGGTTGGTTGGTTTTCCCTTCACACGTTGTGGTTCCAGGCTCTTGCTGTTGCTGTGGACGCAGTCAGATTTTCATTAACGATGCCTTAAACTTCACCTGGAAGTTTAGAATGGCTGTGCACATTACAGGTTTGTGATATTTTTGTTTGTATTATAATACGTTTGTTTGTATGCTCTGATGAAACTCATCGTGTCGCGTGCATTCAAACATAAGATGAAACTGGTTTCGTCTTGAAACAGAAATACAGCCAAGCTAGGTTACTGTGAAAGCAATTTTTCTTTTACGTTAAAACCCTAGAAACGAGTGATCTTCAACGTTGCTCCGCCATCGTTGAACTGCCGCATCGGTTTCTTTCCTTGTATGCAAAAGCCGAGCCGGATGACAAGCAGCCTGGAACTTCACAGACAGAAGCTGTCTTAAGGGAATAATTCGAAAAACATGACTGATTCAGGGTTTAAATAGAAATAATATGACTAAACATCTGGTGAAATTCCATGGGGATTGACTTCGGAAACCGAAGACATTTTGCCAGTAATCCTGCGAGGAATGCAACAGTGCAAGAATAATCATCGAGCTGGCATTTTAAAAATAGGAGAGAAGGGGAGCTTTGGCACTCCACTTCTGTGGAATATATCTTCTACAAACCAGGCTTAACAATCACAATCTCTCTCGCGCTGGTTAGAAACCTCACTCTTAGTGACCTTTGGCAAGTCTGAACCGTAAAGATTCAATACAATGGCTTTTACTGGCAAAAGGAGCTCTTGTGCCGTAGTGCCCAGCCCCGTTCCCTGCTCTGCTTGTCCACAAACCAACATCCTTATTCCCCACCCGTCCCTCGTTCTGGGAAACAAGTGGCACCCACGCATGATGCTGCACCGGAATAGAACAGAACTGGAAAAATGAGGTCAATGCTGTCTGGACAAAGCTAAGACTGCCGAGATTGGTTTGCTTGGGTAGGAATAGGGAACTACACGGCTGAGCAAGTTTTCTGCATTAAGATAACTTTAGAGCTTGGCACTAATCACAGCTAATTTTTTTTAAGCTTGATTATAGAAAATTTGGGGAATACTGCTCCGGAAAAGATGCTCCACGTATGCAATTGAAAAGACATTCTATGTAACCAAATATACCCTTTATTTCCTTAGACTGAATGGCTTAGTGCAAGTAGGTGCTAAAAACCATTTGACTAATTTTAATCATCGTGAATCATGTCAAGGTAGGTAGTGTGAGGATGCTCCCCAAAATAAGCTAGCCTTTATTTACTTACTTTATTGTGGTATTCTAGTGTGGGAACGTATTGGCACAAAAGCAACAAAGCTAAAACCAGCTGCTAATGTGACAGACTTGGTGAAACACTGAAAGATAATGAAGTATCTGTAGAGGGGCTGATAAGCTAATGTATTTGGGAAAATAATGGTTAAAAAGAAAGGCGTGTGTGCTGGAGGCTTCTTAAAACTCGGATGCAGTCTTAACGTGTTGCAACAGGACTTATCTGGAAAGCCAGGAACCATTAGCAAATTTCCTTTGGGCTTAGTAAGAAATTAAGGGCCAAGGTCAAATCTACACGTTGACATTCTTGTCTTTTTTAACCCACAGATACTAACTAGATAATAAAAAAAATCAAAGCAGATTGTAGAGTAGTTGTATTTACAACAGTCCTAAGTAGAGAATTTTGAAAAGGCTGCATGAGGTTAGTGCTTCAATACTCACAAAAATCTCTTCAGGCTTAGTGTGTTACCTCTGTAAACTTCCTCTGAGGCACTGGGGTGCATCATGCCGGTGCGATAGAAGGTACTGGAATAGGTGGGGCTGATACACGGGAACTATTACTGTCTACGCCATGTATTTTATTGTCCCTGAGGTTGTTGAGTGACCTGCCTGAGAGACGCAGTACCCTCACCTGGGACCTGCTTCAATTTCTAGTGCCTGTGCCTCTAGAGTGGAAGGTCATTCCCTCAAAAGCCTTGTTTTGGGTTGCTTTTTTGAGACAAGCTCAGCAGAACTCAAAGCACGTGAAGCCCAAAACAACCCCTGTTAACAAACACGGCTGCGTTCCAGCTACTCCTACCCGTGCCTTGCCGCTGGACGGAGAGCATGTTATCACAGTTCCAAACACAGCTTGTACTTCAACATAACTTACTGGGCTTCTACAGCTCAACCTACGCCACGTGCAGTAGTAACACATTTTCCAGTGCTCCTGGAAGACTTCAGTCCCTTCTCTGAGGTTCTCAGTCCATTCTTCTATGGGTTAAAAGGGCAGCAAGAGGAATCCGTTTTCTGTTTGAAGCATACCGAGGAGAGAAAGCTTAACATTCAATGTGAAAAATCTCCTAATCCTGAACTACTCCTGAGTTTTCTGAGACTAAAGGAGAACTTTCTCAGGAGAATGAGTATGGTTTTGTCCGAGCTTTAACACCATCACGCAAACAATGAGTAAATAAGTACTTGTTGCCACCTGCGGGATTGCTAACCGGGGCCTTGTTTCCAGCAGTGCTTGAAAACTGGACAAGACAAGGTATGTCATAACCCAAGGTCCCGGGAGAACCTGGCAGAGGGAAACACGGACTGAATGGAAGATGGGCAGGGTGTTCAGGGGGAGAGAGCTGCTCCCCCCCTTCCTATCGGATCTCATTGAGCTGTTCAAACTATCTGTTGCTCTTCACTATTAGGAAAGAGAATACGTAACAAATTTTACATGTCCTTTTCCTTCAAATTTTGGTGAGATCCGGATTCAACCCGGGTACCGGTGTACTAGCCATTTAGGAAAATGTGGATTGTTAAC